TCAACCACTGCTTTGGTGGCCTTGAATAATGCTTCCAAGCAGAAAAGACTTTTGAGAGTCTATGAAAAGCCATGCACAACTGCTGTCAAAAATCACAAAGCCAGGGGAAACCACAATTTTATTAGTCTATGCCTTGCTGGTGGTAAATCCCTGCCTGTGTAGCTAAGCTACATTCAGCTCTTATGTCAAATGAACCATTTTTCTCCGAGGTACTATTTTTTAACTGAGAAATTTCAAGGGGGCTAGCCTTACTGTAAACTTCAAGTTTAAATAAAGGAGATTCTCCCAATATAACTTACTCCAATAACTTTTCATGACCACACTGATTTCTGACATATTGATGCTTGAGGAACTGTATACACACTGCAGGCTGTACCACTTTAATCATACTGGCATCAAAACAGTACATTTTATACAGCAAAGTGTATTTTAAATAGTGCAAACATGCTGACCACAAAAGTCATGCATGAACAGCACAACTGGGCTCAGAAGCAGACACAGAGGAGATCCATGTTCCTTAGCCCCTGGCACCCATAGAAATCTGTAATATCAGTGGCTTTTCACCTGAACAGACCTCGAAGCACCACTGCAGCAACACAGACTGGGGCTGATAGTGTCGGTGGTGTCTGAGAGCAAGTCCCTTTGCACTCCCTGTGCTGATCACCTGTTTCGGATTTATTCTGTTTGCAGTTATTCAGGAAAACCACCATCAAAAACAACCAAATACCACAACAAACCCCCCATATATAGTTACCGCTAACTCACTATCTGCATACAAAACACTTCCTTTCAGCCAGGCTGTCCTAATGTGCAAAGGCCAGCTGGATCAATGAGCCTCGTAGGGGAAGTGTGGCTCCTGGCAAGCCTAGTCTGAGCACAACAGCAGAGAAACAGTTCTGCCATTTTCTGATGCTCAGGCTGGGACGGGAGGATTTTTCTTGGAGTAGAGGTGGATTTAATTCTCTTTCCCATCTCCTTCCTCTCCAAATTATGATGTACTGAATCCTGGTTTTATTCTGAATTAGCAAGGCGCTGGGAAAAAAAAACGCTTCTGTAACAAAAAGTTCTAGGAAAATTTATTTTGGACATTGTGTTTCAGTGAGTCAGAACTGAAGAGAATAATTTTGGTTCCAAGTTATTTACAGTGAAGCTACAGTGCCAAGGTCCCCCCCCTTCCCATGATGTAGCTCTCCCGCCAGACACCTCCCATCAGATACTGTGCCGATCAAATCGGAAGAAACTACGCATCCTTCAAGAAGCGGGCCAAATAAAGGCGGGGGACAGGAGAGGGAAATCATGCATGCAATGCCAAAACAATTTCCATAAAATTACAATACATTTCTATGTAAAGTTACTAGGATATTGCCGAACCAACACAGCCCTTCACCTCAGCGTGGTGCTCCTTTCCCAGAATCTTTAATTACAGATCTCCCTCTCACATTTCCTTCCCTCCCCCGGGTAAACCCCGCTATCCAAACCCTGAGCATGGACAGTGTCACACAACACATAACGTTCTGCACGCGTTTGTAAAACAGAATGACAAATTTCACATCTTATGTATCTGCTCTAACACTTGCCTTTCCAGAAGGCACCATGGAACGTCACAAGAACTGGGGAAGGAAAGTGAAAATTAAAGCCTACTAGTAAGGGACAATAAGAAAATGAAGAGGCCTTGCTAAGGGAACAGGCAGGTAACTGCAGGCTCATGGAAGTCACCCAAGCCCATTCCCATGACCCATACGGAGCAGTGTTTGACGATGGTCCAGAAGCTTCTAGAAAGGAAGCGTCAGCCAGCGAGCTTAGCAACGAGAGAGACGCACCTTGGTATGAACCATGCACAAGAGCCTCCGGTAGCGTTAACTCAAGCGGTTTGCTCTCGGGCCTGGAGCAGGTGCCTATCCAGGCCTCTAAAGAGCACCCACCACACTTCTCCGCAAGCACCTTGCAGCACAGGCCAGCTTGGTACGTCTCTTCATCTCTTGCTAACTCCAAAGCCTGGAGAACAGATGTTCCCAGTCAGCAACAGCTTTACCAGGCCAATAAAAGGCTAAGTTTCATGTGTGTTAAAAAGCATTGTAGTTAGGTGTGTTAAAAGCATTGTAGTTGTGCAATGGCCCCTCCTCATTCTAGTTTGCTGATTTGACTAAGCAATCTCTCCTAGTTAAGATACATGCACGAGTGGCATTTATAGTCATAAAATACAGTCAAAGGTGATTTATAAATGCTTTTCAGTATTTGGTTTCTCAAGATCTTTTTATTTCTCACAGTAAGTCACAATTTCCATGCTGCTTCTCTCTGTCTCAATACATCAGCAGACACAGATGTTTGTCAGAACTGCAGATGGTGGTGTAAGAGGATCTTTGCCATAGTCTTCAGCTGGTCTAAACAACAGGGAAAAGCACCTATTTTTGGAGGAAGCTCAATTTATACTTCAGCTGTCAGGACTACTGGGGGTCTTTCCACTTCTCCATTTTTGAGAGGTCCTGTGTAGTCA